CCCAGCGATCGAGTCTTCTTCTCAATTGCTTCCTGGGACTCGTATGTTCGCTTGTATTGGCAATTAAGCACATGAGTCTGACGATGTTACTAAAACCTGTGTTGTTGAACACAACCTCCTTGACGTTTGATTTTAATGAAATCTGCGCCCATCGTGATAGTCCGCATACGGAAATGCTGTTTGAGGACAGGCTTCTGTAGGATCTTGAAAATGTATGCAGGTAAGTTGAGTCATTCCATGTCTCTCCACCTTCATCTACCAATCGGTTTTTATTTTCATTGTTTTGTCTTTTCTAGGTTTTCCCCTCCCCTGGTTCGTGATGCTTATCGTTTTTGTCGTCCTGGCGACCATCTTCATCGTGACTGAGAGTGTCCGCGCATGTATCGCCGCTCGTCGTCGCCGACAGCAGGATCAGCTGCTGGTTAACAACGAGGTTATCATATCTACACCGCCCAACACCCCAAGTACTCTAGGCTTTCATGCTAGGCTTGGTCCCGCGGTCGAGGTGGCGCTCTCTAAGGTGAGTCATTGGACTAATGAAATAAAAACTTAGCGTCCTCTGGGACAGGGGGCGTTTAAAATTTGAAAGTCAATTCCGGTCATCCTCAAATCGTGGTGGAGTTACTACTTCTTTGTATGTATTATTCAGCATGCGTACTGCACCTGCCTCCCAGCGGTTGAATATCTTTCCTGGTATTTACGCGAATAGGGCTCTTTTAATGTGTGTTTGCTCAAGGCTAGGTGTCTTTGAAGTGATGGAAGATTGGCCGATCGTTTGCCAGCCGAAAATCTTGTAGCTATAATCTCTTGTGCATTGTCATGTCTGTCCGCGACTTCAACTGTTTCAACGTCGTTTTCATTTCCTGAGTCACCACCCAGGAATTCCGTTCCGAGCTGTTGCATGCGCAAATAAGTGTAACACACATGTTGTTGTAACAGAAGCCTAAGGCCCAGGTATCACCGCCCAATAACGCCTTGTGTGAGTCCCCAAAAGAAGAACACGACAAGAAGGGTGCAACGGCAGAAATATTTTCGTGTATGAGGTACAACGTATTTAGGAAACAAATGCCTGTAGACGATGTCCCTTGAGCCAATCAGATTTCTTCTAGATTGGCCACCGGTGCAATTGGATAATAACTCGACGGCTGACTGCAGCTGGAAATTTGAATTATCGATTGATTGACGGCCTGTGTACATTCACCT